CTCTCTCGCTCTCTCAAAAATAAACATTAAAAAAATTTTTTTAATTAAAAAATAAAAATAAATTTAAAAAATTTAAGAAGAAGAGTTAGTACCTATTCTTCTCAAATTATTCCAAAAGATTAAAGAGGAAGGAAGTCTTCCAAACTTATTTTACAAAGCTAGCATTACTCTGATACCAAACCAGACAAAAATACCACAAGAAAGAAAATTACAGGCCAGTATCCCTGATAATATAGATGTAAAACTCCTAACAAAATATTAGCAAACCAAATTCAACAATACATTAAAAGGATTATACATCACAATCAAGCGAGATTTATTCCAGAGATGCAAGGATGGTTCAACATCCACAAATTAATCAATGTGATATACCATATTAACAAAACAAAGGATAAAAAATCATATGAAGATCTCAATAGATGCAGAAAAAAGCACTTAACAAATTCAACATTCATTTTATGATCAAAAATGCCAATAAAGTGGGTATAGAAGGAATGTATCTCAACATAATAAAGGCCATATATGACAAACCCACAGCTAACACCATAGTCAGTGGTGAAAAGCTGAAGCTTTTCCTGTACAATCAGGAACAAGACAAGTATGTGCACTCTTACCACTTTAATTCAACGTAGTATTGGAAGTCCTAGCCAGAAATTAGGCAAGAAAAAGAAATAAAGGCATCAAAATTGAACAGGAAAAAGTAAAACTGTCACTATTTGCAGATGACATGATATTGTGTAGAGAAAACCCTAGAGACTCCACCAAATCTATTACAGGTGACAAATGAATTCAGTAAAGTCACAGGATGCAAAACTAACATACAGAAATCACTGTTTCTATACACTAATAACTATCAGAAAAATAAAGTAAGGAAACAGTTCCATTTACAATTGTATCAAAAATAATGAAATACCTATAATACATTCAACCAAGGAAGTGAAAGACCTGTACTCTGAATACTGTTTAAGACATTGATGAAAGAAATTGACAACATGAATAAATGGAAAGATATTTTGTGCTCATGGATTGGAAGAATTAATATTGTTAAAATGTCCATGCTACCCAAAGCATTCTACAGATTCAGTGCAATCCCTACCAAAATACCAATGGCGGGGCACCTGGGTGGCTTAGTTAAGCATCTGACTTCAGATCACGTCATGATCTCATGGTTTGTGAGTTTGAGCCCCATGTCAGGCTCTGTGCTGACAGCTCAGAGCCTGCAGCCTGCTTCGGATTCTGTGTGTGTGTGTCTCTCTCTCTGCCCCTCCCCCGCTCACACATTGTCTCTCTCAAAAATAAACACTAAAAAAATTTTTTTAATACCAATGGCATTTTTCACAGAATTAGAACAAAGCATCCCAAAATGTGCATGGAACCACAAAAATAAATAACCAAAGCAGTCTTGAAAAAGAAGAACAAAGCTGGAAGTATCATCCTTCATGATTTCAAACTATACTACAAAGCTAGTATACTAATCAAAACAGTATGGTACCAGCATGAACACAGACACATAGATCAATGGAATAGAATCAGAAAGTGCAGGAAAAAAGCCCACACATATGTGGTCAATTAATCCATGACAAAAGAGGCAAGAATATACAATGGGGGAAAAGTCTTTTCAATAAATGGTACTGGGAACATTGGACAGCTACACACAAAAGAATGAAACTGGACCACTATCTTACACCACATACAAAAATAAAATTTAAATGGATTGAAGACTTGAATGTAAGACCTGAAACAATAAAACTCCTAGAAGAAAATATAGGCAGTAAATTCTTTGATGTCAGTTTTGGCAATATTTTTGGACCAGTCTCTTCAGGCAAGGACAAAAAGCTAAAATAAACAAACGAGATTACGTCAAACCAAAAAAATTTCACACAGTGAAGGGAAAGGCAACCTACTGAATGGGAGAAGTATGGGTGACATTTGTTCTTCCCCAAGGTTCAAAGGAAAATCTGCTCTGTGACTCTCTTCTAGCTTCTGGTGGGGGCCAGCAATGCTTGGTATTGCTTGGCCATAGCTGTATCACTCTAGTCTCTGCCTCCATCTTCACATGGCCTTTTTTCTGTGTGTCTCCATGTGTCTTCTCCTCTTCTTATACAGACAACAGTAGTATTGGATTTAGGGTCCACTCTAATAAAGTATGACTTTGTCTTAACTAGTAACATCTGCAAAGACCCTATTTCCAACTAAGGCCATGTGCTAAGGTTCCATGTGGACATGAATTTGGTGGGGACACTATTCAACCCACTACAAAAGATAAGCATTTTTATTTGAGCATTATTTTAATTATGACTCTTTCATTGTATATGTCAGAAACCACTAACTACCTAACCAGGAAGTGAACCTAACCGTTAGGGATGCCTCCATAACTGGAATGCCCAGGATTATCCTCTGGCTCCAGGTACTTTTTGGATCTGACAGGGGACTCAGGAATCCATCACTCTCTCTCCATTGCCACCTCTGCTTACTCCTGTTGGACCACTTTCCACAGGAGACTCTCTGGTGTGGCCACAGGGCAGATTTCACCTCAGATAGTCTAACACCAGAGCTCTCAACCATACTGCTTCCCCTGTGTAGTAGCAGTAAACACCCCTGTATTGGTTTCCTATACCTATACCAATTACCACAAATTCTTTGGCTTGAACAATACCTATTATTAGCCCACAGTTCTAAAGGTCAGGGGTCCAGCCATGGAGTAGCTGAGTTCTCTGCTAAGAGTCTTACAAAGCCAAATCAGGATATTGATCAGGATGTGTCCTCTTCCAGAAGCTCCAGCTCATTTAGGTTTTTGGAGGAATTCATTTCTTGCCATTGTAGGACTGGCTCTTAGCTCAAAGCATCAGTGTGTGCTTTCTCTCAGGCCATAGCAGCTACCTCCTATTCCTTCTGCTTCCAACTTGGGACAACGCTCTAGTTTTATCTTTTGACCTTCTTCATGCATTACTTTTTTATTTGTTTTGGTTTGGTTTTATTGAAGTACAATTGACATATAACATTACATTAGTTTCAGATATACAGCATAATGATTCCACATTTGTAGATATTAAGAAATGATCACCATAGTAAATCTGGTTATCATCCATCACCATATATAATTATAATTTTGTGTGTGTGATGAGAACTTTTAAGATCTTAGCAACTATCATGCAGTACAGTATTATTAACCATAGTTACCATGCTGTACATTGCATCTCAGGACTTATTTATTTTATAACTGGAAGTTTGCACCTGTGAACTCTCTACTTTTAAAGAGCTCATGTGTTAGGTCAGGCCCACCTAGATTCCCTATCTTAAGGTGATAGGAGCCACATAATATAATATAATCACAGGAGTAAAATCCATCAGAGTCACAGTCCCAGGGACCATGCAGGGTGTGTATATATTGGTGGTGGTGGGAGATAGCTCAGGCAGAATTTTAGACTACTGCCCACCATATCCTCTCTTACAGCTGCTCTACCACCAGTGGCCTAGAGGCTGCACCAGATAGGCATCAAATTAAGTCCGTTTTACCAGTGGAAAAAGTAGACCCAGAGAAACTCCAAAACAGAACCCAGTGTCTACTGATTTCTACTTCTACACTGAGGTAGAAGTAGAAATTTTTTTGCCACATCCTCCCCACAGGAGACTCAGAAAAGGGCTTTGACACCAAGGTCCCCCTGTGTATGGATGCTTTATGCCTTATGTGGGGGAAACCTCCCAATCACCCACAGAGGCCCATGAGAAATGCCATGCACTGGAACAGTCCCTCATGCTCTCTGGCAGGTGGCTGTTGAGCTTAGTCAGGGCAGGCTGTCTGGTCTGCTCCAAGTGCCACCCACAAGGAAGCAGCATGTGGGGGTGAAGGGATACCAGTGGCTGGCCCAAGCAGCAGGCAGAGAGGAAGCAAAAAGGAATTGCACTGGACAGGGAATGGAGGGAGGGGGAAGTAGGAGTGCAGAGAACAATACAAACAGAAATGGATGGAGGTAGCCTAGAGAGAGAGTGAAGCTCGTGGACCATGTCTCTCTGTGGGGCAAAATGCCACCAGTAGCATCTTCCCACTCTACACAGAAGGACCCACTCCATGGGAGGGCCCCAAGGGGCTGATGATCCTTTTCAGCCTTGCATCTCCCTCCCCTCAGGGAACCTAGAACAAGCCAATGAGGAGCTGCGGGCCATAATCAAGAAGATCTGGAAGCGTACCAGCATGAAGCTGCTAGACCAAGTGGTGCCCCCTGCAGGTGGTGAGTACTTCAGGATCTCTTGCCTGGTTTCTGAGTCTACTAGAGTCTTGGGAGGCCTGCTTTCCCCAGGCCCTTTGTGTGTGGGGCTCAAAGGTGCTATTGGTTACAAGGGACGATGGTAGGGGTACCTGGGTGGTTCAGTCGGTTAAGCGTCCAACTTCGGCTCAGGTCATGATCTCACGGTTTGTGAGCTCAAGCCCCACGTCGGGCTCTGTGCTGACAGCTCAGAGCCTGGAACCTGTTGCAGATTCTGTGTCTCCCTCTCCCTCTGCCCCTCCCCTGCTCACGCTCTGTCTCTCTCTGTCTCTCAATAATAAATAAACATTAAAAAAAATTTTTTTTAAAAGAAGAAGGGACGAGGGTGCCATGCCCTTCACAAACTCAGATACAGAATGTCAGCTTGGAAATCTGGTCCAATCCTACATTTCAAGACCAAGCAAGGCCCCTCAATATTTAGAGGTTTGACAGAATTTCCAAGGAAACTCTGCAAATATAAGTTTCCCCATAAACTACCAGGCTGTTTGCTCTGGAAATAATGGTGCCCTGGAAAAAGAATCCCCTGAGATCCTCTCTGGGTTGAAATTCTTTTTGTTTCTCCTAGGGCAGTGTTTCTCTACCCTGTCAAACCCAAAGCCCCTTTTCATAACAAAAAGTTTATAATGCTCTTACTACTACCCTGAATGAAAATAATAATCTTCCTACATATATAATTTCCAAAATATTAATATAACACTTTAATATAAAATACATTAAAGTCAAGTGTTCTTCAATATATACATGCTAAAGCACTATGGCTTATGACACTATGCCAAAAGTCATAGTTAACTGAAATACTTGCACACATCTACATATGATGAATAAGTTTGTGTTTAAAGGAGCTAAGATGATATTGAATATCATTGACATTTTGTGTTTATCATTTTGAGGGATAACTAAGTATATTAAATAATATAATATCCACATGTATGTATACATACATGCACCTACGTATGTGCACATACATAGAACAAATGCAGACCGATGTAAGTAGGTGACTACTTACAGACCGCAGCAGACCGCAGGTGACTCAGACCACGAGCAGTGATGCCATCAGAGATACGATTTTCCAAAATGTAAACCCCTCTTAACCAAGTGGAAACAAAGCAAATATGGTCTTCCATCAATTTACACGGCAGTTATATTCCTGGAAAATTCTGGATATATTAAAAGCAGGCAAAAAATTATTTTCTGTTCATATGTAAAATGCAGTTAGGTTCTTAGCTTAGATAATTATAGACAGGTTATGTCCCCACATGGACATCTAGCAGATTGCAAAGCTATTATTTGTTGTGTAAAACATGCCTGTATTTTAAGGGACACATCTGGAACCACCTAATACCTGTAGCACACTGTGACAGCTAAAAGAAAGCCCCACGCAATCCCAAAACACTCCTTAAAATGTGACACCACCCCCCCTGTTGAGAACCACTTCCCAAAGGGGAGCAGGACAGGAGCTAAGTGAAAAGTCACTTACACAGGCCAAGCATCATCTGACGTTTTGCATACATTATTTAATCCTTATAACATTACTATGAAGTTTGCTAAAGAAACTGAAGTTCTTCAAAACTATGTAGCTGACCCAAGACTACATGGTGACTACCTAGTAGGTTCAGAATCCAAACCCAGGTCTGAGGGATGCTAGAACTCCAAGCTCTTTCTTCCCTACCGCTCTTCCTCCCCAACTACCCTAAACAGGGAACGCAGGGCTTTCCCTCTCACATGGTAATGAGGTCTTTGTCATGTAGAAGGTCATCATTGCTGTAGACTTGGCTATTCTTAAGTACAACTAGGAGTAAGAGAACCATCACAAGCCCCTATATCTAACCTACAAGCTATCTCCTGGGCCCATTTCCCAGAGAAGAAGATGGAACCAAGGAGCTACTCATAGGGCATGCAGTGTTCTCCTTGGAGAGTCATTGGCTTCTCCACCACCTGGTTCATTCCCAAGACAGAGGCTGATTATGTCATGTGTAACTTGGGGGTCCAGCCCAGCAGGGACCCAGCCAAGCCACATGATAAGAAAACCCAATCTGTCTAATTATAAGAAAAACCTAGACTTAGAGGAGAAGGTGCTCCTTACACCAAACCCCATCTTTAAGCAGAACTGTTTGCACTTAGGGGACTGGTCAGTTTATGATGGGCATCTCAAGTTTTAGAATCAAATAGGGACACCTGGGTGGCTCAGTCGGTTGAGCGTCTGACTTTGACTCAAGTCATGATCTCATGGTTTGTGAGTTCTAGCCCTGCATCAAGCTTTCTACTGTCAGTGCAGAGCCTGCTTCAGATCTTCAGTTCCCCTCTCTCTGCCCCTCCCCAACTTGCACTTTCTCTCTCAAAAGCAAACATCTAAAAATTTTTTAGAATCCAATAAAAATGAGTTAGCAATATAAGCTAAGTTTTTTTTAATTTTTTTAATGTTTATTTATTTTTGAGAGAGAGACAGAGCATGAGTTAGGGAGGAGCAGAGAGAGAGGGAGACACAGAATGCAAAGCAGGTTTCAGGCTATGAGCTGTCAGCACAGAGCCCGATGTGGGGCTTGAACTCGCAAACTGCAAGATTGTGACCTGAGCTGAAGTCGGACGCTTAACCGACTGAGCCACCCAGGCACCACTAAAGTTTTTTATACATTTTTTTAACTTTAAAAAAAAAAAACAAGGTGGGAAATAATTTTGACAATAGGCTACTTCTAGTGTAAAAAAAAAAAAAAGATGGGATAAGAATATATTTGCTTATTTTCAGAAAGCATTTGCAGAAAGACTTTTTGGAAAAATACTCAAACCAATTTGAGAAAGGTTATTTATTAAAAGGTGGTAACTAGGGGCGCCTGGGTGGCGCAGTCGGTTAAGCGTCCGACTTCAGCCAGGTCACGATCTCGCGGTCCGGGAGTTCGAGCCCCGCGTCGGGCTCTGGGCTGATGGCTCGGAGCCTGGAGCCTGTTTCCGATTCTGTGTCTCCCTCTCTCTCTGCCCCTCCCCTGTTCATGCTCTGTCTCTCTCTGTCCCAAAAATAAATAAATGTTGAAAAAAAAAAATTAAAAAAAAAAAAAAAGGTGGTAACTAGGCAGATGGGGGAGGGGTGGTAAAAACACTTTTCACTGTATACCTTTTAGTATATTTTTGCCTTTTGAACCATGTTAATAGACTACCTCTTTTTAAAAAATTAAATTTAAAAAACTTAAGAAAGTTTGGATGCTGAAAAAAGTTAATGAAGTCCAACTGAATTCCCCCATTTATCTCCCTTCTGTCCTTTTTTTCTCACATCTCAGATGATGAGGTCACCGTTGGCAAGTTTTATGCTACTTTCCTGATCCAAGAGTACTTCCGGAAATTCAAGAAGCGCAAAGAGCAGGGCCTTGTGGGCAAGCCTTCCCAAAGGAACGCCCTGTCCTTGCAGGTGAGGGGTGAGGGGGGGTCCACACCCTAAGGAAGGGCCTGGTCACCTTCTTCCAACCTCTGGCTAGGGCTTAAATCTGTCATCAGTGGGCTGGAGGCCAGGTCCCTTCAGAAGGAAACTTTCTGAGAGTTCCAACCTTTCTACAGGTGGGTGTGTGAAGGGGCTACATACTGCTTCCCACACACCCTGCCCTCCACAGTCCTGCCCGCTTCACAGCTCCCCAGAGCTCTATGGAGCTCTGCTGAAGTTCTGGAACAGCCCCTATCCTTCCTGGGTGGAGAAATGGATTCTTCCACTCTGGGGCAGACAAGAGAGGTCCCGAACCACATCCCCAGTTAGCACACACAGATAAACCCTCTCAGGCTCACCTGCCTTGTGGAGAGGCAGGTGGGTCAGGTGGCTGGGTGCCCCTCTGGGTTTCAGGCTGGCTTGCGCACGCTGCATGACATTGGGCCTGAGATCCGACGGGCCATCTCTGGAGATCTGACAGCTGAGGAGGAGCTGGACAAGGCCATGAAGGAGGCTGTGTCTGCTGCCTCCGAAGATGACATCTTCAGGGTAGGTGGATGCCATAGGAGCACTCTCTTATCTTTTTATTTATTTTTTTTTAATTTTTTTTTCAACATTTATTTATTTTTGGGACAGAGAGAGACATGAACGGGGGAGGGGCAGAGAGAGAGGGAGACACAGAATCGGAAACAGGCTCCAGGCTCCGAGCCATCAGCCCATAGCCTGACGCGGGGCTCGAACTCACGGACCGCGAGATCGTGACCTGGCTGAAGTCGGACGCTTAACCGACTGCGCCACCCAGGCGCCCCTCTCTTATCTTTTTAAAGTTTGGTTTGAAGTAAGAAGGTGGGCTGGCTTCACCTTTTCTGCTAAGAAAATCCAGGGAGAAAGCCCTGAGCTCTAAGGCAGATTCCAAGCTCTTCCCAGTCAACTATTTCCTATCCCTGCATGTTTTCCAAGCCTGACTCCATCTCAAGGCTGGGCTCCCAGGACATGGCAGCTTACAGAGTGTCACTGGCTCTTGGAGAAAGAGGGGAGGAGCCCTTTTCTTACAGGAAATGTTTCCTAGGAGAAACTTCTACATTAGAAGTTGCAAATGGTGGCTCTTGGGCCTCATCTAATCTGCAGACCTATTTTGTTTGCCGACATTTGGAAATTCAGCACATTCAAATAAAAATCTAGACCTCTGGCTTCTCTTTTAAAAAAATCAGAAAATCTGGCTTATGTTCCCACGTGGTAGCAGAGGAGTGGAGCCAAGTGGCAATTATCCTCTTGAGATAAAGCATGTGTTCTCCAGGTCACAAAAATCCCCTCCAGCCTTCCTTCCCTCTCCCATCCTGGATATGAAGGCTGAGTGTCAGTTTTAGAAGTGAAAACCAAACCTGACTCTGCCAGGATAGTGGAACTCTTGGGTCCTGCTCTCTCCATTCATTGTGGCCCATGCCTAAGCCCTGAGGTACTTGGCTAAAACCCTTCCCAAGTGAGGGAGAAACTACTGACCACCATTGCAATGGGGCCATGCTCACAACTGTCCTTTCCAGCTCCCACAGGGGGACCACACAGGGGTCCTGGGCTATGGAGTCACCGGGAGGAGCTTGCCCTCCTTGTGGCTACCCTGTCATCACCATCCTCATCTTCATCACTGTGAAATGTCCATCACTGAATGGCCTCAGGGACTCAGCACCATGATAACACTGCCCCAGCAAGACCCCACAGATCAACTTGCAGATAGCCACTTTCCCACTCACCCAGGACAAGAAAAAAGTGTTAGGAAAAAACATTGGGTCCTGATTTGAAATCTCTAAGAACCTCCCAGGGGAGAGAAAGCCATGATATAATTAATGGAGTCAATGTGTCATCCTTATTTTCAAAACCATTTCGCCAACATGGTTTCTAGCTCAGTGAGCCATTTGGATCTCCATTTAAAAAATTCTTGTTAGAATCCCCTGGTCTCTTTCCCCACCCCTCAGCCCTCACCGTGCCTCACAGCTGCCAAGCCAAGCACTGGCTGCAATTAAGGATTGCCATCCTACACTGGTCCTTGAAACTCCTCGTGGGGTTCATTAGAAAGTCCCAGGGGAGCAGCCTCCCTGCCTGACTGGTTCTGCAAGAGGTCCTGTCCCTCACTGTTCCCCCCAGTGGTTTCAGAGGGGACTCTCTGGGTCCCTCCCTCTCAAACCACCAGGCCACGCAGGTGAAGAGTTCCCCATTTGCCATGTGCTGCCCGGCGTGGTTGTGCTCTCTGGAAGGCGGACAACCTTCCGTGCCTTCGCTGAGAAGGAGAGGTAGCTGAGGGGGCTTTCTCCTCCACCCACCCCTCCCGTCTTGCCTACAGAGGGCCGGTGGCCTGTTCGGCAACCACGTCAGCTACTACCAAAGCGACGGCCGGAGCGCCTTCCCCCAGACCTTCACCACCCAGCGCCCACTGCACATCAACAAGGCGGGTAACAGCCAAGGCGACACCGAGTCGCCATCCCACGAGAAACTGGTGGACTCCACCTTCACCCCCAGCAGCTACTCGTCCACTGGCTCCAACGCCAACATCAACAATGCCAACAACACTGCCCTGGGCCGCTTCCCCCGTCCCGCTGGCTACCCCAGCGCAGTCAGCACCGTGGAGGGCCATGGGCCCCCCTTGTCTCCTGCTGTCCGGGTACAGGAGGCAGCATGGAAGCTCAGCTCCAAGAGGTAAGCAGGAGGGTGGGGCATCCAGGGTCCATGCACAGGGGCCCCACACACTCCAGCCCAGAGTGGATGGGGGGAGAGTTTGGCCCCCAGGCCTACCACTCACCCCTCAAGCTGGGATGGAGGCTGCTGCCCCAGAGCCCATCAAGAGATAGGCAAATGCTGCTTCCCAATCTTGCCCTTGATTATATGTGACAGCCACCCTCGGGAGAAGGCACCATGGCGCCACTGCCCAACAAGTGTCCTGAGATGCACACTTGTGGACAGAGCCTCCTGTGCTTTCTCATGCTAACCAAGCAGAGGAGCTCCAGCCCCTGATCCCTGGGATGTCGGCATTCTGGCTCCACAGTAGACTCTGTTCCCCTGGCCTTTCCCAAGTCTGCCTAAACCTGGCCTTTGGCTCAATTAGGATGGGAACGGAGCTACCATCTTTTCTTTATGTCCTTCTCAACCCTCTTGGGAGGGACATTTTGGTGTCAGGAGGCCCTTCATGGTAGCACTTGCTCATTCTGCCCCAGTGTAGGATCATTCCTGGTAGTTTGACTGATCTCCCACCTCCTGATGCATGCTTTTCTCCCCACCCTCTGCTCCCTGGTGCTCCAGGATACATTGCTATGATGTGCTGGGACGGTAGGTGCCTACTTTCATGCTCTGGGCCTCAGGAAGCACAGCCTGGGCTTAGAGGGTCTCCCCGCTTTTTCTGTCAACAGCTCCGGGTACCCAAGGCCGGGTGGGTGGGAACATGCCTCCACATCTTGCCACTTCACCCTTAGTTGAGCTGCTCTTCCAGAGCAGGACGGCCTCCCCACCACAGCAGGCCGGGAAGATCCCCAGCATGCCATGTTCTTGGGCAGATCCCTCCTGCTTGCAAACTTAGAAAATAATCGTGAAGTGTGAGTGTCTTTCTGGACAAGTGTCCTGAAGCTGCTTTCATCTAAGGAGACAGCATACCTGCCCCCTGGTTTTCACTTCTGTTCTTACCACCCATTTTCAAATGGCTCCATGTAAGCCTACGTGGCCTGGGCATTTAACAGTGTTGATGACAGCCAAGTCAAACCTTACTGCCTGGAAACCTGGCTGGTTAAACCACCCAAAAGCAGTGTTGGGTGAGTCCTGCTCAAGAGATGTATACTGATGCCTTCTATGTGCAGGGCAGTGTGCTTGGCACTGGATTTTGTATGCTGATGTGAAAGGGTTAGCTTTGTACAGAGGAATATCAAAGTTTAAGTGGCTGACCCATGACTGTCTTGGTGGTCCCTCCCTTTTCCGCAAACCTCTTCCTCTTCTACAACCTTCAGGGACTCAGTCTTAGTGCCATTTTCTCCCTTGCTCCCCTTACCAAAACCTCTTCTTAATGAAGGCTCATTGTGTCCATCATTAGCTTCTCAGTGTAAACTAATACCCCCTTCAAAGGGTATTTTCCAAACTGTGTTCCATATTAAATGAAGGGAGAGTGGTTTTTAGAGAGGAGATAGGAGAGACATCAGGGGATTGTCTTCCTCTCCCCACAGATACATCTATCAATGATTATGGTACATGCAAAGCACCTAGCACAATGCCTAGCATGTAGTAAGTGCTCTCTAAACATCGGCTCCCTCCCTTCCCAACACAGTAAACAACACTCAAGGCAGTATGCTTCAGCTTGGTGAGGAGGAACAACTTAACCAAGGTTGTAGCTCTGGGGCCTCATCCTTCATCTTGCACCTCAAGGCTAAGTGCAGTGGCCCCAGGACTAGCCTTACTTTTGATGGGGACAGGCCAGCATGTCTTGCATACAGTGGCCCCCAAGAAGTGGTGTTGCCTGCCTGCTGCCATTCTCCATCTCCAGCCCATCCCATCATGCCTCACCAAAGCTCCTTTCACATATCTCTCTTCCCACTCCATCAAGAGCCTTCAACATTTCACCTGTCCTTACTGTGGGGTGGGCAGCCATCTGTTAGGGCCTTCTCCAGAGAACCAGGTAGGTACCCAGGAACGGTAGCTTCCTGAATTGCACACAGCCCACTGGCTCAAGGTCAAATCTAAGATGCCAATCCATCACTGAGCCCTGAGAAAATAAGCTGGGATATTTCCCTGATGCCTCCATGAGTAAAGTGGGCCCCAGCATTCAGGAACTATAGGAAGAAAGATGGAGGGAGGTACTGAGCGAGGCACAGACAGGAAAAGAGAGAACACCTGGACCAGAGCTAAGAAGACATGACCAAATGAGCAGAAGATCCTGGTCTGGAGGGAAAACAAAATAATCCAAGGTACATCCTGGTGTGGGAGGATCTCAAGCTCAGCAAGGAGTCAAGCTCACTGCCCAGGACAACAAACCCCCCTATGTGAGGCTTCTTCTCCGTGCCTTCACTCCAAGAAGCCAATGACAAACCCAAAGCCATGTCAAAATGTGACACCAGGAACTTCCCAGCTCTGCCCAACTAGCACCCAAAGCCCCAGCTGTCTCTAGCAGAAGGAGAGGACAGCCCTTGCACAGGCCCATGCCGACCTGTATAGAACAGTCCAGGACCTTGTTTTAAAAGCTGGTCCTTTCTACCTTTCAAAACGCCATCTCATCTGTTACTTCATTTGTTACTCCCAAGTTTCTGAGTCAAGCAGGGCATATGTTAGTTCAATTTTATTGATAGGGATACTGAGGCATGTGGTGAGCTAGTGACTTATGCCAAAGGGCAACTGAATTGGCGTCAGAACTCAGATCTCCTTGGATCCTACCCCAGAGATGCTTGTTCCATGTGGAATTCTATCTCTAATCTTACTGCTTCCATGGCTCCGCAGCTTTGTCAGCGACTGCAGGAAGAAGAGGCCACAGCAGTTTTGTGTGAGTGTGTGTGCACATGTGTGTGTGCGTGCGTGTTCCCTGTGTGAGTGCCTTGCACATGTGAATGAGTGCATGTGCAATGTGTGCCACCTCATCTGCTGAAGGAATGGTGGGGATTAGCAGTTTCTGACTTTATTTCTCCATCTTGGACACTTCAGGTGCCACTCCCGGGAGAGCCAGATAGCCATGGTGTGTCAGGAGGAGGTCTCTCAGGACGAGACCTATGACGTGAAGATAAGTGAAGACACTGAGTACTGCAGCGAGCCCAGCCTGATCTCCACAGAGATGTGAGCTCTGCCCCCAGGCTAGCCCATGTGCAGGAAAGGGTCTGGGGGTGAAGGGAAGCTCCCTGAAATCCCTCCTCTGGGCATGACTTGGGGAGGGGGAGATCATATATCAGAAGATGCCTAAAGCATCTGTCACCTCATTAGGGAGATGGATGTATGTGTCTACACACACATGCACACTATCCCCCAGTTAGCTTAGCTTTTCTTGTGATGCAATACTTTCAGGAAAACTTTAAAACATTGTTTCATAAACTTTTTTTACTGAAACAAACTGTCATAAACATACTTTGGAGTGAGACTCAGTACACACATACATGTATTGACAAATAAATGTTCATGAAGCTTCTTATAATAAAGCTACCCAGCAGAGGGCACTGCTGGCAAACAGTGGCCAAGATTTTTGTCAGTGCTGGAATTTTTAATATAATTTATTATCAGATTGGTTTCCATACAACACCCAGTGCTCATCCCAACAAGTGCCCTCCTCCCTTCCCATCATCCACTTTCCCCTATCACTCAGCCCCCATCTACCCTTAGTTTGTTCTCAGTCCTTAAGAGTCTCTTACAGTTTGAATTTTTTAAGAGAAGCGTTTTTTAACTACAAGTCCAGACCCATTCGAGGGTTGTGACATTTACTTAGTTATGATCGATACTTTTTTATATATTAATGTTTTATTGGTAAAGGTACATGAGGGGCACCTGGCTGGCTCAATTGGAAAAGCATGCAACTCTTGGGGCGCCTGGGTGGCGCAGTCGGTTAAGCGTCCGACTTCAGCCAGGTCACAATCTACACCACTGTCCGTGAGTTCGAGCCAGGTCGGCTGATGGCTCGGAGCCTGGAGCCTGTTCTGTGTCTCCCCTCTCTGCCCCCCGTTCTGCTCATGCTCTGTCTCTCTGTCCCAAAAATAAATAAACGTTGAAAAAAAAATTAAAAAAAAAAAAAAAGGAAAGCATGCAACTCTTGACCTCGGGGTCATGAGTTCAAGCCCCACGTTGGGTGTAGAGGTTACTAAAAAATAAAATCTTTAGAAGGAAAAAGAAAGGAAGGAAAAGGAAGGAAGAAGAGAAAGAAAGAGAAAAAGAAAAGAAAGAAAGAAAGAAAGAGAAAAAGAGAAAGAAAGAAAGAAGAAAGAAAGAAGAAAAAGAAAGAAAAGAAAGAAAGAAAGAAAGAAAGAAAGAAAGAAAGAAAGAAAGGGAAAGGGTACATGAAAACCACCTATGGACATGAGCCCAGGTGAACATAACATGCAAGCCTCATCACACCGTCTTTTGTCTTATAAAAGCTTAACTTCTTTGGAGTAATGTCTTGCCCATTCCAGCAACAGTGTCCCAGTTAACTTGTTTCCTTTTTCTCTAGGCTCAAAATAAAATCAAACTCCTCTCAGGTCAGGGCTGAGTTGAGTCTTTGGCGAGTGAAGAGAGCCATCTCTTTTAAGGGGTCTCCAGTGGCTTTGTGAGCTTGGTGATGGGTTTTGAGCTCAGCCAGGATACTGAAATTCTTCCTCATCCAACCAAACTGCACATCCACCCTGGACCATTTGGGGCTCTCTTCTTTGCTGGATGGGTCATAACAGGGATTGTTTTTTTCAACCTATGTATAGTCTGAGTCAGCCTCTTTCACAGGCCTCACAAGTGCTTTGATGCCTGGCTCTTTGCAGTTGCTATGGTAGAAGGCTTCTTCCTCCAGCTTCAGGACTGGAAGGAAGTTCTGGGCCTGGTAGTTGTAACATCATCCCAGCACGCTGTCTGCTAGGACTGTGCTTAAAGCTCTCCAATGCTGAACATCACATCCACACCTTTGTCTAGTCAGCTTTCTGGCCCTGACTTTATCAGCCACTAACTGCTAGATTCTCCCCAGAGTTTTTAGAGGCTGAAGCCTTCTGAAGGCTGGAGTTTATCCACTTTAGCTGATGCCCATGCTGGGTTCTTAGTCTTGGTACATTTTCCTGCTGGCCCTTTATTGTCTGTCTGGCCCAGCAGGCTCAGCAGCTCCAGGCAGCCTCTTCTCCAGTCTCAATATGGTCTCCTCCAGGGGGCTGAAGACCAGAGGATCCTGGAATCAATGAAGAAACACAAAAAGCAACTCTGTATCTGCCTCCAGAAACTTCCCCAGGCTCCAGAAAGCCAGACCAAGATCAGCATTTTAAAATAAAGAATAACATAGTACACAATAGCATAGAATAGGTTAGAATAAGACAATAGATAATAGTGTATCCAATGTCACAAAGGTATTATTTAGTGAAATACTTGTTTAATGTGTGTACTGAGTCTCATAAAATGTATTTATGACTGTGGGTTGCATTCAAAAAGTTTAAGATGCATTATTTTAGTAACTTCCCTAAAAGAAGGACCGGCCCTTTAGCCTTTTGATTTGTAGAGACTGCAAATTTTCACATGGCCACATACCCTAGAAATCAGTAAAAGCATATGCGTCTTTCCGTTTTGGCTCTTACTGAGTGCTTGGTGCATCCAGGCACTCTGCTAGAGCATGAATAAACCGGCCTCAGCACTCAAGGATATTTTACAAACTAGTTAAGATCTCAGAAGAGGGAGATAACATGGAGATTTTCTAACTACTTGTTCACAGAGTGGTACAAGCAATGAGGGGGATAGACATTCAGAGAAGGTCTGGGTCAAGGTGACCATAACAGCCTCCTTGCACAAGATCAAACAGAAGCTGGGTCTTCAAGAGTGGGTACAATTTGGATAGAAGAGAATATAATAGGATGAGTTCACCATGTCAAAAATGAGAGGAAAGGCTTGGAGGTTTTCAGTCAGAAATTTTCTTGCACATCTACAAAGGCTCAAGGGCAGTACGCTAGGAGCAGGGAAGGCAGCACAGTCTCTGCCCTCGAAGCATGTGGAGTCACACAGCAGGAACAGAGTCGGTGGCCTTGTCTGTAAAATGAAGGGGTTAGAATGCACCTGTCTTCTTGGACTGCAGGCTGCTCCCACTGGGGACTGTGAAATCAACTTAGTGGATTGCAGCTGACATTGTTTGATGAAATAGAATAGACTAAAGTAGCATAGAAGCCACCAGAGAGCAATGCATGCAATAAAGGTAAGTATGGTTCCAGAAGCCGAGTTCATTTAGGTGTGTCTATGTATATGGGACCACGAGCACTATATTTCTTATTGTGACTCTCCATCAAAAAGGCTTAGAAGCCATTGAGTAGATGCCCCCTAAGGCCTCTTACAGCTCTGCTGGTCACTGACTAGATGACTGGGTGTTTGTCATAGGTAACCACTTGTGTGTCCTGATGATGAAGGGTGGGCAGGCCAGGGAGAAATTAGGGGAAGGAGAGAAGTTTTGGCTGAAATTGGGAGTACTCATGATAAATAGCACCCACATATGTAAACAGCGGAGCCTAGGCTGTTCCTGGAAAGAATCTTGTGGGCCAAAAATTGTTTTCCAACTTTCTCACCAACTTTGACTCAAGATCGCCTCCACTGCCTCAAATCAGAAATGCAAGGCTCATGAGCAGACAGACCGTGTATGAGGAGCTGGAAACATCTGTGATGCCAGAGAGCCAGGCCCAGCCTTGGGGGATGGGGGGTGGGGGGTGGGGGGGGGGGGGGGGGGGGGGGGGAATTCCTGCTGCCCCTTCGCCAAACCTTTAGGAGAGCAAAAAGTGGGAGTTCCCTTCGCTAAGGGAGAAAGCAAACTGCCTTCAGGGGTGGCAGCTGTCCCTATGGGGTGGAACTTCTCAGCCTCCCGGAATAAGCTCCAGGAGTTCTCTGTTCCAGGCTCTCCTATCAGGATGATGAAAATCGGCAATTAACACCACCAGAGGAGGACAAGAGAGATATCCGGCAATCTCCAAAGAGGGGCTTCCTCCGCTCTGCCTCACTAGGTGAATACTCACACCTCTCACTCCAGATGTGACCAGCCAGGTATCACCCCCCAGATGACTGGTCAGGCATTCAGGTGGCTGAGAAACTGCCATGGCCTGGCTCAGACAACTCCCACACAGTGGCTGCCCAGTGATGAGACAGGATTCTAAGGGCAGGGCTTGTTGGGTGGAACTTGACCATATGCTACCTGATATGGGAGCCAAATGGTAGAGAGAAGGTGATCCAAGGGCCACTAACATGGCTTCTACACCTCCCAGGGTATGAGCCTCACAGGCCTGTGTCCCCTTTCCCTGTGCTGATCACAGTTCTATGGCTGGCTTTGCAGGTCGAAGGGCCTCCTTCCACCTGGAATGTCTGAAGCGACAGAAGAATCAAGGGGGAGACATCTCTCAGAAGACAGTCCTGCCCTTGCATCTGGTTCATCATCAGGTAGCCCAGACTTTCAGATATGTCACTGGCCATCACCCCACAGGCTACAAAACCCCCATGATTATGGCAAATCCCAAGACACCATTCAGTCTTCCCTGTCTTGACCACTCATAGTCCCAACCCCTGGCCCTAACAGCCCCCGATGAGGGCACTTGTCCACGCAAGTGAGAACATTAACAAGGGGTGTCAGTTCCCAGGGTGGAGATGTAGCAAATACTGGTGAACAGGAGCTCCTCATGTGGTCCCAAAGGATCAGCAGTGCCAGGATTCTGCCTCATCTTTCTTCCTACAATGGTGCAGATGTTCCCTCCACAGACATTGGCTTACACTACAGAGCACTCAGGCAGATGTACTTACATAGTGTTACTTATAGATGTACTTATACAGAGTTGCAAGATACACCAAAACATAGAAATGATCAAAGATTCTGCCAGCAACATGGTCAGGAGGAGACTGATATTCAAGGAAAGCAGGTCCAGAGAGATTTGACAGTTGAAGTATCTCTTGGCATGGCTGACTCCAACTGAGCCAGTGAAATCCAAGACACCAATGTCCAACATAATCTCAGGATCTTAGAAATAATGCAAACTTCAAAGAACCAAAGGCCAGTCTCTTACTTCTGGGCAAATTAGGGTCTAAATTTCCTAAAGTTTTTACCTCTCAAATTGTATACTCCCTCACCACAGGCCCATGCATTAGATGATTTCTTTTAATACCCAAGGGCACTCAACTGCCAATCAAAACTTATAATCTGCAAAAGATGGCCATTGTGGCTCAGCTAAGTTGATATGATTTCGGCTCAAAGTATCCACTGTTTTGCTTAGCCGATGTGGCATTGCCAGCATACATATGATTTCCACTGGGCTTTCTGGAGTATTGAGCATAGCCTTATACTTCCCTCAGATCTCCAGGGAACCAGGGACCCAGGCTGGGGACCATCAAGAGCTGTGGGCAGGGGAGGCAGGCTGGGGGGACACTGTATGTGCTATTTAAAAAGATTTCTAGAAGTTCATTTCACCCATCTATTCTTATCATGAGGTTAGGAACCTCTGCTTTATTTACACTCCTCCCTTCATGCCTTTCCACTACCCCCCAACCCACTGCCATGTTCCCTTTCCTCTTCCTCTCCGTCTGGGCTTTCCCACTGCACACTCTCCCATGGACACTTCCACTCAGAGAAATTGTTGTGGTGGTGACATGGAGGTCAGAGGATACAATACGTAAATAGTCTAATCACAGCACAGTGTAAGATTTGAACAACAGCTCAGAGACAAGCTGAGCTGTCTCTTAGACAAGCTGATCCTTAGATCAGCAGGACATTCTTAATAGCCTAATTGTAAAAATTAAAACAATAAGCACTGATTTTTTTTCTAGCACTTTATGGTGCTTCACAGACCATATTGCACTTGAACCTCACATCAACCCTGCAAGATAGGTAGATAGAGGGCATTCGTGTTCTGGTTTTAGAGCTGATGAGGGCAGCATTCCTGGTAGACTGCTCACGAGAAAACCAAAAGCAAAAGAATTCACTGCTGACTGGTGATAGGGCCAGTGCTGAAAGGCAGACAAGCTTGATTCCACTCCTTTGCAACTTTCTGGATTTGGAGGAGAAGGCGATCACTGCAGACGGACATGATCACAGAATATATTTTAGGGTGGCAGACATGAGCAATGGGTCGTGATGGGCGGGGGGGGGCGTGGGATTCAGAGGGCTGAAAATGATGGATGTGGGCTCCAGGTAGGTGGAGCTCGCTGGGAACAACAGCTGCTAGGAATAGGCAGAGGCCTGACTGCTTCCAATAACCCATGTTCCTTGTGTGTCCGCAGGCATTGGCGGTGGCAGGCCTGAGCCCCCTCCTCCAGAGAAGCCATTCCCCCAGCACATCCCCCAGGCCCTGTGCCACCCCACCAGCCACTCCAGGCAGCCGAGGCTGGCCCCCACAGCCTATCCCCACCCTGCGGCTGGAGGGTGCTGAATCCAACGAGAAACTCAACAGCAGCTTCCCGTCCATCCACTGCAGCTCCTGGTCTGGGGAGCCCACACCCTGTGGTGGAGGTGGCAGCACCATCCGGAGAGCCCGGCCAGTGTCCCTCACTGTGCCCGGCCAGGCTGGGGCCCAGGGCAGGCAGTTCCACGGCAGTGCCAGCAGCCTGGTAGAAGCGGTAAGTGACCCGGAGCTGCACAGCAGGCAGACAGGGGGAAGGAAAGGCTGAGGGCAGCAAGGGGGCTTTGCATGAAGAATGGAGAAGGGAGGATCTGGTCCTTTCCCAAGTAGAGTGGATGTCGAGTCTCTTGGCCAGAAAGACCCTGACTCCCAGGGTCCACTGAAGAAGGGCATGGTGTGCAGAAAATGGTGATCACACAAGACGCTATAGGCTTCTGCTTGGGCCGGGCCTGCTGTAGGAGGAGAAAGTACTGAGCAACATAACCCTGCCACAGGCCAGTGAACCCCAAGCAGGGCCCCGGGCACCAATTTACAGCCAGTGGTGAGCTCTGAGGGCTCCAGATGCAAATGTGGGCCTGGGCTGGGTTTGTTCAGTATCAGTATCTGTGGTTCTCGAGCCTGGGGCTCATTAGAATAACCCAGGAGCTTCGGAAACCTAGGACACATTAAATGGATATTTTTAAAAGCCCTTTGATGATTCTAATGCACAGCCAGGGGTGAGAATCACTGTTCTAGAACAAGAATGCTTCCGGCTCCTCCATGCTCTGCCCTGGCCAGAGCAGCTAATGCACTCCTGGCACCACATTTTGGGGGACTGTGACAAATTGGAACAAGCCCAAAGGGGAACACAGCAAGGGGTTGGCAGGGTCCCTAAATGCCATTTCCTATGAGAACTGTCGGGGGAACTAGGGAAGCAAACCTGGAGGGGGAACAGCCTAGGAGGCCACGATAGGCATCTCAAACCTGTGAGGCCCCTCATGTCCTGGGCAAGGGCTCTTAAGTGCAGGCCTGGAGCGGCAGATCAACCTGCCAGGTGAGCGGATTCAAGGTCACATGAGGAAGACCTTTCCAACAGAGCTTTTCCCAAATGAGGAGGGCTTTCCTATAAAGGGGTGAGCCCGCCATCACTGGACACATGCAGGCAGAGACACTGCCCATCCAGTCGTCAGGCTGTTGTGCAGGAGGTGGAGAGTTAAACCAGATGACCTCTAAGGTCACTTCCAGCTCTGAAGCCCTGTTCTTCACTTGACCTTGATTATCCCTCATTCAGTTCACAGATTTCCATTGAGTGCCGACCACGTGCAGGCTCTGTTCTAAGTGCGGGGATATAGCTGAGACACCAGTTTTTGCTCTCATGAGCTCATGCTGTGGTGAGGAGACACAGACAATAAACATGTGTGTGGCATGTCCCACAGGGTGGGAGCTCTGAAGAAAACTTAAGCAGGAGAGAAATAAAGAGTGATGGGGTGGGGAGCAGGACAAATGGAACTGGGAGGAAGACATTCCAGGCTTCATTATGAATCCCTTCCCCTTGGCTCAGAGCCAGTCACTAAAGCAGCCTTTAGGAAAGAGGGAGCAGCTCTGGGATCACCTGCTGGCCTTTGGAGCAGGAACAGAAGCAGGTGCAGACATGCCGTTCTGCACACCTCCCCACAATCCTCTCCCACAGAGGCAGCCAGCCAGCAATAGGCAAGGGGCACAAGGTAACAAAAGGTTAACAAGTTTCACAAAAGGAGGATGAAGGTTTCTTGGCAAGAATAATATGACAGGCATGTGGGGGTGGCAGGGAGGAGAAAAAACAGGGTGGGCTGGGTTCTACCTTAGACAACGGCCCAGCAGCACCCCTCTGGCCCCCTCTGTAAGTTGAGTTCTCATGTGTTTGACAACAGTTTTTGAGTGCCCCAGCCAAAACATCTGCCCTCCAACCTACGCACCCCTGATTCCTTTGGGCAATGCTCTGTGTCCACTCCTTTCCTGTGAGCACCCCTACACACACACACACACACACACACACACACACACACTTCCCAAAGGTACCAATTATACGCCCCTTGCCCTAGCCCTAAAGAGAAGAGTCAATCTCCAGGAATAATGTTCCTCTTTGGTTCTTCTTCATGGTCCTCCCTTCCCGCTTCAGGTCTTGATTTCAGAAGGACTGGGGCAGTTTGCTCAAGATCCCAAGTTTATTGAGGTCACAACCCAGGAGCTGGCTGACGCCTGTGACATGACCATAGAGGAGATGGAGAACGCCGCAGACAACATCCTCAGTGGGGGCGCCCAGCAGAGCCCCAATGGCACCCTACTACCTTTCGTTAACTGCAGGGACCCAGGGCAGGACAGAGCAGAGGGCCAAGAGGGCGAGACCTGCGCGCCCACCCTGGCGTGTCGGAAGAGCGAGGAGGAGCTCCAGGACAGCAGAGCCCACGTCGGCAGCCTGTAGTAGCTAGGGCTGGGGAGACGCTGGGTTTTTTATTTGTTTCAATGTTCCTAATGGGTTCGTTTCAGAAGTGCCTCACTGTTCTCGTGACCTGGAGTTAACCGGAACAGCGTCTTCATTCATTTCGTTGGGACAAGACGCAGAGTTGGGTGGTGGTGGAGAACCAGTTTTTCGGGGGGCATGGAAGGCAGCAATCCCAGTTTGTGTTGTGTGCACAGAGGTAGAGTGGTGAGGAGGAGTGGAAGAATCAGGGAGGGAGAGCAAGAGAAGAGACATCTGCCCTCGCCTCCGGGCATGAAAGAGAACCTCAGCTTCCTGCGGTAGCCCTCACCAAAAGGACCCTATGTCAAACGGGTGTCAACTTTGCTTGTAAAAAAAAAAAAAAAAAAAATCATTTTGCACATATTCTGTATGAGCCTCACTGTCTCCATAGAGCCAGGGCCCTGTGGATTTGCAGAAGGAAGCAGGGGTAGGACTTCAGCGAGGACCCAGCCCCATCCCAGAGAGGGAGGAGGAACAGCAAGAAGCTGCAGGAGCTCGGGAACCCGGAGCGGCTGGCGGGGGGCGCATGGCAGCCTCACCGCCAAGGCCCCGGCCACGCCCACTCGTCTGCGTCAGGCTCACCTAGCCTGCCCTGGGCTCCCAGCTCCAGAATGGCTGCTGGGCCTGCGTTGGCGGGGAGGGGCAGCTGGTGCTGCCTGCCAGGGAAGGGGCAGCCAGTTTTTGACGCGACGAGGTGGTGCTGAGCTTCTGTTGAGCGCTCTTTTGTTTTGTGATTTGACATATTTCTTGACAGCATGTTGCAGTTTTCGTTTTTTTGGTTTTTATTTTCATTTTGTTTTCCCAGGGGGAGGGGAGGAAGAAGTGTTTACAAAGCTTTGTAGCCACCCACCTTACTGTTTTCACTTTTGCAAATGTAAATCGGGTTTGGTTTTACTGTATTATTTAAACGATTGTGGTTTTCTTTTTCTACGGTGGGTTCTGTGGAGCCGCTGTAGTCCGAGTTTTACCAGCCATTGTGTATGCGCAATTTGTTATAATTTCCGTAGGTAGTAACAACAATTTTTTGGGTTTGGTTTTATAATTTAAAGTAATGCACTTGATGTAGTCTTGCACATATGGATGATTGAGTTGGGTTCTTTTTAATGCTGGGTGTATCCGTGGGTGCCAGAGAGCGAAAGCACGGATGAGAGAGTCTCTGTGAGTGTGTGTGCTACGTGTGTGTGTGTGTAGTGGGTTGTCTGGGCACATGTCCTACGTGTGTATGTGCACCCATGCAGTGCGCCCATGCGTGAATGAGTGTGTCGCTCCCCCTTTCTGGTCTAACTGTGGGGAGATCTGAATCTGGGGCCATTTGAAAGCAAAAACAAACCACTGTCTCTGCTTCTGAAACGGGAATCAGTAACTCTTTGCATTTTCTGTCCCACAAGATATGCAAAAACAATGCAATAATATTCATTTTAAAAATACAATTGTAAGTTGTGTTGGCATTAAAGCTGTATTTAAAAAAAACAGAGAAATTTAAGGGAAAAACTCAAGAAGGCGTTTTGCTTCGATATATTCCGTGTAATGTTTTATTGCATTGATAATGTTTCTGTTGAAGAAACTGTTATACTTGAATTCAGGTCAGTTTCAGTATTTTACAAATATTTTTTTAAAACTGAATTGCAATTGTGCCAAGCGAATATAATGAATTGAATTAAGTTTGTTTTTGAATTCACTTCTTGTATATTTTGCTGCATGTAAGTAAATCATTTTGTATTTGAAGTGTGACAAGCTTTACCCTTGAACTCTGAAGTGCTTTTCTATATGTGGTTGGGGGAAAGGGAACGAATATTCTTTTAATTTTTACAATGAGCAAAGGTATCACCAGTGTAAATCATTACCCCGCGATCCACAAACAGGTTTGGACATTACTGTTTTGCATATCTTGTGTTCGCTTCCATTTCCCTCAATTTTTCCAAAACTATATAAGTATATTCGTACTACATCTTGCTTTGAGAGACCAGGACATGTCTTATTCCTGTCTTCGTTCTATCCACTCTGCTCCAGTTCTCCGATTTGGACTTTCTCTAGGGACACTCCTTCACCATGAGGGGACATCACCAGGCTGGCGTCAACGTCCCCCATGGGAGAAGTGGCTGGCTTTTCTGTTCACTTTCACTGCGCAAACTTTCCTCAGTGGTTTCCTCAGGAAAGTGTACATTGACTTGAGAGGATGGAACTAGAGTCGGGCTGGTTGGAGGGAAGGGAGTCCTCCCCCTGGCAACTGCTCTACCCAAACTCAGACGGCAGGGGCCAGAGAACAGCAACCAGGTAAAAATCTTTGTCCATCCAAACGTCAGCTCTGTCTTATTCACTTCATCTCTTCCTCTCTGGAGCAGGATTTCTTCCAGACCCACCCTTGTGTGTGTGGCAGCCATGGAAGGGACCAGGACTGGGGAGGACATGTCAGGAGTTCACAGTGATAGTGGAACCAGAGACTTTGTGGGAGCATCTCTTATGCCTGTTTGTGTCTACCTAGAACATCATCCTATTGGTGCTGTTTCCTTCAAATAGAGTTCAACAATGATGGTTGAAAAGGAAGTGATTTGGGGAAAACAGGACCCAACCATTCATCCAGGATTTACTCATTGAATGTCTTCTGGTCCCAGTGTGCTCTCAGCCCTTATATGAGCAGCCTAGAAATTAAAGTTGGAGAAAGTCCACTACCCCAATGAAGATGAATTTCACTTTCAAGGACTGATTCATGAAAAAGTGGAGAAATGTGCCAGATACTCCCAGGTTAACTTACTGTCTAGAAGCAGGAGGGTTTCTTCCTGTTTCTCCAAGCCCAACCCATCCAAACATTTTTGGTTTGTTTTCAGTGCTGTGAAGGCCTTCTAGAAATTAGTTAGGTGTCATCCTTTGTCTAGTTTCCCAAGATGTCTGCCACTGTGCTGCTAAGATTTTAATTATGATGGAGAGGGGAGCCCTTTTGGATTAATACCTGGTTCTTGCTGTATGTTTGGTCCCTGGATAGAAATTTGGAATCTTAATTGACTACATGCACACAAACACACACACAACATACACACTCAGACTTCCTGCTGCTTTTTTCCTTTTAGACTTCTTCTGCATCACCAAATCTCATTAGCCGGCTGCAGGCCGGGCTCATGCCAGCTACCCCCAGGGCCGTACCTAAGTATGCCCCTTACCCTTCACCACTCATGCCTACAAGGTCCCTTCTTCTTTATAGTCATCTCTGTCAGAAGATCAGCTAGCCTTGCATCCTATAGGGACAATGTCAGCAGTGACAAGGGCATCTGGCCCTATGCCTCTATGAAGGAAAGGAGTTTCATATGGGAGTTCCCTGTCTAGAGCCATGAGTCTTTCTGGCATGACCTCATGGTCAATTGGTAAAGGGCTGACATAAGATACTTGTCATCATGACAGACTGGTTAAATCAGTCATGAAATCCTGAACCTCGTCCATTAGATGTTTACCCTCCACCTGGAGCAGAACTTACCCCATGACCTTGTAAAACATAACTGTCAAATCTTCTGAGAACTCTTAAGTGGCAGGAGAAAGCTGCTAATGGCTGAGGACCAACAGGACTTGAAGAAGTGCAATGTAAGTTCCAGGGGCGGTGAACGCGATTTTTATTTGTCCTCTGAAGGGCCCAGACTCTTTTATTTCCACACTTTGGCTTTTTAGTAGTCATGTGTGTGATTTTCAGTTGTCTCCTTTCTGTTTCTAGAAAGTTCTTTTTGGTCTTGAGCAGAAAGAGAAGAATATTTTCCTAGATTTTGGCTTGATCCATGAATTTTTCTCTGCTTTGCTTCACAGGCAATTAGTTATAGTCCCTCCCCTCACCTTCTAAGTCTGACAGGCTGCCCTCTGACTGGGAGGTCCAAGGACAAAGGAACAAGGCTTCCTTACTCTGTCTTTATCCTATGACGCTGCTTCCAAATCTCAGGGGCTTGTCTGGAGAGAAGCTATCATTTTCTCACAGCCATTTTCCTTCCAGAACTTTTCCTGATCATTCACTTAAAGATAGTAAGGCAACCACAGGAGAAGTGTACCTTTCAATGCCTAAGTAATATCTTTCTGAGAAATAAGAACACCCTGAAAATGAAGAGTTTGGAAGGTATCAAAAGGGCTTCATAGAAGCCCGTTGATATATGCCCATCATTCCTAAAGGTCAAGATATGTAGCAAGAACCTAGTTCAGGCATACAAAATAACCCTGGTAGTCAGGTTTTTAGCCTCATCAAAGTACAATTATAAATGCTGCTAAGGAGGATGAAAGCATCTCAATCCTGAGGGACCTAGAAAAAAAATGAAGTATCATTGTCTAAGAGTTAGAAACTATTTAGCAAAGAGACCAGAAAAGGGCAATCTGGTTTCGAGAAGACTCATTTAAGCCCCAAGTTAGTAAAAAAAAAATAATAAATAAAATAAAAATAAACAAAAAAAATAAACAAAAAAAGACATGGCTCTGGTCAGGGGAAAGTATTGGCACAGAGAGAACAGGAAGGGAAATGGGCCAAAACAAAGGGTATGTCTTGACTCTTTATGCATCTGTCCCCATTTTATGGAAAGAAGTGTCCAGTTCAACCACCCACAATGGCAAGAACAGGGGAGAGGCTGATGCCTCAAGGATCAACTTTAGAAAAAGAGAAAACTAAAGTTTCCATCTGGCATTGTTTTCCCAAACTATTTGGCTAGATGTGGGGTATCTGCCACACTATCTTTCCTCTCTGCTGGTGTCCCTCCCCTTGTATTAGCCAGTATGCCACCTGAAACTGACTCTAGTCGGTTGGAAGGTATGAAGGGAGGCCTAATGTCACTCATGGCGAAGCTCCTGGTCACCACATCCGGGTTCCCCATCAGCTCCCTCTGAGGAGACACAAGGAAAAGAGACAAGGGAACGAAGTGTCCTACAACTGTCAGGGAGAGAGAGGGCCTCTTTTCCATTCCCCAAGCCATTCTCTCTATTCCAGCTTCCTGCCCAACCCCGCT